TTCCCACAACACTGCACACCATCCCCCATGAAACAATTTCTTACCATCATTAAGCCAAGCCCAAAGTTAGAGCTCTGATGCTTGATAGAAAGTTCTAACTGATGTAGAACAGCTTCTATTCTTTCTTGTGGAATGCCCTCTCTGAAATTAAACAAAGGAAAAACAATCTAAGCAATTGCTACAAAGTTATTCTCACTACTGCTTTGTACAGGCACGGATTTATTGCCAAATATTACCTCAAACCTAGTGGGGATCAGGAATAAGGTCCAAAATAATGGGGCTTAAAAATATCCAAGAAAATAAAATTGTAGTGACTCAAGTCCTCAGTACGTGGCCTCAAATTTGAGTAATAACATAGTCATATATATACATGTTACTAATGACATAGCCACAATATAATCCGTGCATCCAAAGATTGATGGTACTTGCTGACAAGACTGAATCAAGCACACTATGTAATGGAGATTTCGTTTAAAATTTCTTTTGAATTTWTYTCGATTAATAAATTTTTATTATRCTTTTGCTATGTTATAGAAGCATTGGTCATTGATTAGTGTTCTTCCATCAAGTTTGGGGTGCACTCGGTTGGTTGCTTAAGCTTGAGTCGCACGAGTCGCATGAGGCAAAGGCATCCTTCAGGCTTASCAACCTCCCACATGCATCCAAAACTTGATGGAAGCACGCTAATCAATGACCACAGTACAAGAAGTACAAGACATCCAAGGTTCAAGATACCAGAACTCTGCTGTATTTCATTGACAGGAAAGTGGCTTTAAAATGATGAACTTACTGAATGACTTTGTCAAATGTTTGGTTGATAATTTCCTTGACTCTTGGTACATCTTCTGCTTTGATGCCTTTGAGACCAATGGAGAATGAAGAATCCTTTGTGCCATTGTCATATCTATTATATATTCAACACACAATATTAGATTGATCATATCTATGCATAGTTTTCTCATAAGACAAGTGTTACTAGCTAACACTTGAATTTATCATATTTACACACCAACATTACCATCAACTCTATTATCATTATAATCATCATTACTATCGAGAATAGAAAGCTGCCAGTGCTATCATTGTCTTCATCATTCTCACAACCATCATCATGATCATAATCATCACCAACTGCAACATCACCATCACCATCACCACCATCATCATCGCCATTATCATCATCATCATCATTATCATCATCATCACCATCATCATCATCACCATCATCATTGTCATCATCATCATCATCATCACCATCATCATTATCATCATCATCATTATCACCATCACCATCACCACCATCATCATCGCCATTATCATCTTCATCATCATCATCACCATCATCATCATCATCATCACCATCACCATTATCACCATCACCATCATCGCCATTATCATCATCATCACCATCATCATTATCACCATCACCACCATCATCATCGCCATTATCATCATCATCATCATCACCATCATCATCATCATTATCACCATCACCACCATCATCATCGCCATTATCATCATCGCCATCATCACCATCATTATCATCATCATCATCATCACCATCATCATCATCGCCATCTCCGCCACCGCCACCTCCACCGCCACCTCCATCATCATCGCCATCTCCATCATCATCACCATCATCATCATCATTATCACCATCACCACCATCATCATTGCCATTATCATCATCATCATCATCACCATCATCATTATCATCATCATCA